GGCCATGGTGGGCAGCTAGTTGAACTTTCAAGGAGGATATAGAAGAACCTGAAAGCTTCAATGGTCTCAAGTTGCAGTGGGGGAGGTCCAGGTTGGATATCAGGAAAAACTATTTCACTAGGAGGGTGGTGAAACACTGGAATGCGTTACCTAGGGAGGTGGTGGAGTCTCCTTCCTTGGAGGTTTTTAAGGCCCGGCTTGACAAAGCCCTGGCTGGGATGATTTAGCTGGGAATTGGTCCTGCTTTGAGCAGGGGGTTGGACTAGATGACCTCTTGAGGTCCCTTCCAACTCTGATATTCTATGATTCTATGATTCTATGTTCTGAGTCTCCAAAATGCCTCTCTAAAGGCAGGCGAGGTTTGAATCTGCTTTCAGAAGGGATGTGTGTATGTGTGTGTCTGTCTGTCTGGGAGAATTGTCCATCTGTGAGTGCTGAGGAGCAAATGGAATCCTCTCCTCTGCTGGGGCCAGCTAGTAAACAGGTGGCCACTAGGTGGCGCACTGCTCTCCAGAGCACTCTGCTGGCATACCTCGGCCGGAGTCAGTGGCATTACACCTGCAGAGAATGGGCCCTGCACCTGCAAACCTGAGTTCAAATGTCACTCTGCTCCCTTCTGACACAAAGGAATGGAGTTTCCTGGCCAATGCTGCATGGGGCAGAGTGGGGACGCATGCTGGCCCTTCCAAGTGCACCTGCCACTCTCGCTGTGCAAGGCATGCTATAGCACAAAGCACTTTCTCAGTTTCCTCCCCTCTCCCATACACACACTAACGACTACCTGCTGTAAAACATTGATACTTCTGTGGGTATCCTCCAACAGATCCAGCCTGCTCTGGGAAGTCTATGGGCATTTCCCATTGACTCCAATGAGAGCAGCGTCTGGCCCACAACATATTATTGATTAGTTTCAGGAAGCAGTTCAAGGAACTAGTGGACTGAAGGCAAGCCCTGCGTATCAGAGGGGACACTGGCCCTCACCCTACAGTAGGAGCCCACTCAGAGATTAATTCTGATGCTTTTAGGAACAAATACACAATGCTGTTGAATATCAAAACTTCTGCTCCAATTTTCTGGGGTTTGCACAGCTGGACGTGAGGGCAGAGCCCTTGTAGCTGGATTTTCAGAAGTGCTGAGCAGCACCTACAGCCCCCTTTGATGTAAATGCTCAATGCCTCTGAATATCAGATCATACCTGTGCAGGCTACAGAAGTATGGGTGGGGCTTTGAAAAGCACCCATGTCCGCCTCATTGAAAGTTAATGGGATATTTGTTCCTATGTCACCCTGACCTTAAATCCCATCCTAAACTCTCTTTTTAAAACAAGTCTCTCCTTCACTTACCTGCCAGAGCCCAGGTCCAGACCCTCAGGGCTCTGTCTCACCTGTGCTATATCAATCAGGTAAGGAGCATGTATTCCTTCTTGGTTCTGTATGGCAGGATCTAGTGCTGCATGGCAAAACCCAGAGTCAGTAAGGGAGGATTAATTTTAAATTACCTTTAAAAATCAAGTGCCTGTGTGTGTAATTGTTACGCCTGCACAGTCTGTTCCTGTGCAGTCAGTGCGCATTCAGCAGACCTTGCTATTTCACTCTGTTCACCAAGAGACCTGTTGCCCATATCAGATTTGCCAGGAAGCAAAGGCACAATCCGAGAACATCACAGGATGTACTTTGTTCACCTTAGCCCTGTGTAGCAGCCAGTGCCTCCTGCAAGACATTGTTCCAGTCCCTTAGGCTGGTTGGGCCACTGCATGCACTCACTTCCCTCCCTCAAGTGGTGGGCTAACAAGCTGAGGAGCTGGAAGCGGCCAGGAAACTGGCCATCTAAAATAATTGATGTGGGTGGCCTAAGTAGTTTTATGCATCTTGGCATAAAGGTGAAAACTCTATGGCCATTTGGGGGGAATGCTTGGCTTCCTCGCTCTGTCTCCTCACCAGCCTCCCACAGCAGTGGTTTGGGTACAGCTGGAAATTAGCTGGTTAGAGTGGCAACTGCCTACTGCTGTAGGAAATTCCCGGGCTCCTTTGAGTGTTACCATCAGGCAGCCAGCTCTTCTTGTTCTCAAACAAAAGCGTTGGCAAATGCTGTAGACAAGGAGGCACTGGAATCCTATTCAGTCCCACCCTGGTCCTAGACAGTGACACACAAAGGACCCATTAGAACTAGGTGGAAGAGACAACATGGGCATGTCAACTTCTCCCTGTTACTCCGGTCTGAAGCTAGCAGCAAATACAGGACCTCTTCCCACACACCTCTGCTCAGAGCTCTTGCTGAAGTCAGTGGTGGTCCTGTGTGCAGTGGGCTCAGACCCAGAACCATTAAAGATATTTTTCTGGTCCTTCTGCCAGCCTTTCTGCATATTATTGGCTTGCTGGGTATTGATTTGTTTTTACTGCCTACTCCCCTATAATTTGTAAAATCCCTCTCAAGCGTGTGTGTTTGCCCTTGAGCTTGCTGACTTGCCTGCTTTTCACTTCCTAGAGACGGAGACACTTGTTCTCCTGGGCATGTCATTATTAATGTTCTTCGGGGGGTAACACACAGCCTTTGGAAGGCATGGGTGGGTGATGCTTGCATTACTCCTGATGCTCATGCATTGTTCCTGCCCTGATAACAGGTGCTGTCTTCCTCCCTCAGTAACTTGTTGCCATCTATTCTGCAGAAATCAAGGAGATGGAAAAGCAAGCGTGAGGGGACAGATGCCAACAACCGACCTATTAAAGCTGCTGGCAAAGTCATCATACAGGATATCTCCTGCCTGCTTCCTGTGCACAAATCGCTAGGGGAGCAGTACATGTGAGTACACAGTCCTATCTCCAAGGCCGTCTCTCGGCATCAGCATCCCAAGCATGTGCTTGGGGCGGCTCTTTTCAAGGGGCAGCACTGCCGTTTTTGCTTTGGCGGCGACACTCTGGCTTTTTTTGCTTGGGACGGCAAAAAACCTGGAGCTGGCCCTGCCTATCTCTAGCCCCAAACTAAGGCGGCCCTCAATGCCACTGCTGTGCTCTGCAGTGTCAAAATCAATGAACCTCTTGTTCCACTGAGCACCCATTCTTCACCTCTTGCATCATTCCCATGGTTACCCTGTCTACCTAGGAGTGATGGCTTCTTTCCCAAAAACCTCTGGAAGGGATGCGTGGTGAAGGAAATACGTGGGAACGTATTTGATTGTAGGTCTACACACCAGCTCCAGCCCTAGCAGCTGAAGATTGTATATATGACTGTTGGAGGACTTCATCATTTGAAACAAACATTGTGAGCATGGGCCCTTTTCACAGGGGTGCATGTTAAAGGAGAATTCCAAAGGGTTGGTTTTGGAATGGGCTTTTGCCCCTTTTTGTTTCATTACGATGGATGATGAGGCCTGGAAGTCTCTATCTATCTGTCTATGCATGCGTGCATATACACTCAAACACACTCTTCCTCTTTCTTGCTCTCAAAAAGGTTTTTTCAACTTTGTGTGTGTGTGTGCGCGCGCATATTAATTTCAGGGCTGTGCATCTGTATTGTGAGTGCTTTCCTCTTAATCAAAAGGATGGAGGTGCTGAAGCTTTATTAAAGACATCTTTTCTCCAATGTGCTAATTAGTCATTGAAGTTCTAAAGCAAACAAAAAAACAGATGGGAAAGCTCTTCTTTCAGTTGCTCAACTTTCATTTCCATTCTAGTGATATTGTCATTCCACTGGTGTTCTCGTCAACAGAGGGCCTTTGAGGCAAGACAGTCCCTGAATGTCATGTGTTTTTAAAAAGGAAAAAAACACAAAATCCCTTCCCTGCCTTTTCAATCCATCATAAAGAAGTAAAAATAACCCAGCCATTGGCCAATTGTTTCATGTTCGCAGGTGGTCTTAAGTGGGGGGGGGCTCTTTCTGGTCCATTTATTTGTAAGGTCTTATGCAGCCTTTTTCCCAATACTCCCTGATAGGAATGGAAGCAGATGAAGGAGAAAATCATGGGGGTGTTTGGGGGAGCTATGTTGCCGCCAGTGAGTGGGAGATCTGCCAAGTAGCTGTGAGGTCCACATACCGCCCCACCAATCCCTCAATGCTGTTGGAGGCTAGTCAGTGGTGGCATGTCATCCCGCCCAATATCACACCTGGCTCTCCCTCAAAGTCTAGTGCTGGCTATAAAATGAACTAACTGGTAGATTGAATGGTAACAATAATTTGTAAATGGGGCAGCCCCAGATGGCTATCAGCTTCTGGGTACAAGAACAAATCTCAGCTTCACACTGCACCAGTATGTCACCATGGTAATAACTCTTTGGTGGTGGACCATCTCAAGACGACTGTCAGAGCAGATCCTGCTATTCGCTGTTGGATTGGAATGGGACATTGTGCGGTGGACTGTCTGGTAGGGCAGCTGGATGGCATGCAGTCAGGTGTCTCTCAATGACTATGGAGGAAATGCTGATCCGTCTGACCCTGCAGTGTGATTAGGGAGTTCTGTCCAGTGGTGTGAACCATAACCAACCCTCCCTTGGTAGGCAGCGTGTCAGTAAGAGATGAGCCCTCTCTTTCTTTTTCAGTCTGAACGTCAGTAACATTCAGGAGACCTGCCAGAAGAATGCCTCCTCAGCCCTGGCAGTTGGACGTAGGGATCTCGTCCAGGTATTGGGCTTGCCATTTATCTAGAGCACAGCAGCTGAATGGGACGCCTTAGCGAACACATTACTCTTGCCTTGTCATTCTCATGCCATTATCCTGGATTTCAAGGGCATGCCTGGGTCACTGGGGTGCAGCAGTCATTCCAGAGACCATCTGGAAGGGTTACAACGAGTCCTCCCTGGTAACTGGGGCAGAAGCACTGACACTTTGTAACCTCTCATTGAGAAATCCCTGGCCAGACCAACAAATGGTTTGTTTCATACCCTTTGCCAAACCAGCTGAGATGACTAAGTGCTCTGAGAATTTCTCATAGGCCAAGCTAGACACAGGGCATGCTACTTTGTCAGTGACTGGAATGGGCATGCATCAAAATCACTGCAGCCATTGTAATCATTTTGGCAAGAGGAACTCTCTCTTTCTTCTACCTGTGGGGTTTGTAATAATAGGCACGATTATGACTGTTCTGTGCTGGAACCGAATACAAAAGGCGGACAGCCTGTGCCCCAAAGACCTTACAATCTAATACTGTTTTGGGTATTGAGACATTTTCCTTTTCTCCATCATGCTGCTTACATTGCATTGGATTCCACTGGGGCAGTGAAAACAGACTAGTTTCCGTTTCATTTTGTTTGTACTCTGTTATTTTCTGATTCTCCTACTTTAGCAGGATGGTCTGAAGTTTGTGTTGCAAATCCTGCAGCAAAATGTTATACCTTTAAACAGCTACATTATTTCATTTGATTCTCTTTAAGTTCATACAAATGTTTCAATTAATTTCCAGCTTTTTTAAAAAAAAGTTTTAAAAACCTAAATGGTGTTCCTTAAATATAAACCACAAACATTTTCTGATTCACTTTATGTAAATATTAAAAGGATCCAATAGCACGTCATAGGAAAGACTAATTCCTAGAAGGGTTTACCAGCTGATTGCTGCAGTGTTTACACCACTTTCCCATTTCATTCCTCCACCTGCACTGCAACATTACAGAAATGTCCTGCTCCTCAGCTGAAACCTGGAGCCCTGAGCTGCAGCATGACAATTTCTCAATGTCCCCTTAGGAGCCTGCTTTGTACGAATTGCCCAGCTTTCCCCTGGCCCCTGTGGTCTGCTGCTTCGCTCAGGACATGCTTTGCTTCTGTACTTCAGTTCCCCTCCTTTCCAATCTCTCCTGGTCCCACAGTGCTGCCACATTCCTGAAATTCACTGTCTGTGTTTCTTTGCACTCTGTGTTCTCTCTCATGTTCTCAGCTCTCATGTCCTGTATCTTAGCTGCCGCTGCCTTTCTAACACCTCCCTCCCTGCCCTCCTCCTTTTCTGTGACATTCTGTAACCAGTGGTTCACGCTCAGCTAGAATACTGTGTGCAGTTCTGGTCACCCCACCTCACAAGGATATAGCAGAAAACCTAGTGAGGGGTTAAAGACTGGTGATAAGAGTGATTGCATCCTAGAGAGGTGTCTATGTGGAGAGAGACTGAAAAAGTCTGGGACTGTTTAGTTTAGAAGGGAGACAAATCAGAGGGGATGTGATAGAGGTATACAAAATGATGAATGGGGTAGGTATACAGATGGTAAATCAGATGCTCCTCATGCATAATAAAAGAACAAGAAGCATTCAATAAAACTGAAAGGCAGCAAATTTAAAACCGATCAAAGGTCATGTGTGTGTATATGTTATAGTTCACCTGTGGAACTCATTGATACAGTGTCACAGAAGTCAAGAGTGTCATCAGATTTTAAAAATCAGATTAAACACTTATTGATAAAGAAAACCTCCCACTTCCTGGGATAAGCCAACCTCAAAATGAGGGGGGGGGGTTAAGAAGAAACGCCTTCTATCAGCCATTTATTCCATAATTGTCCCCTAGGGAGCTTCTTGCACGTTGCACTGAAGCATTTGGTGCTGGCTGCTGTCACAGACAGGCTAATACACTAGATGGACCCCAAGTCTGGTCTGGTCTGTCAGTGGGGATCCCTCCCCAGCAGCTAACACTGCTTTCCTGCAGCTAAGAGGTAGCTAGTTGGTTGATATGACTGATTCTCCATTATTATGGAGCCCAACTCCAAAACCATCAGGGCTTGGCTGATTCTGGGGCCTCTAGAAAATCAGCTGTACCTGTTAAAAAAGAATTCTGCCATTATTGAACCTTGCATGCGTGATTGCAATGCGGGGTCACAGCCCTCGGTGCAGGTGAATTTCTGTTTCTAGTTGTCTTTCATGCTGTTTCTCTTGTCTGTCCAGGTGTGGTCACTGGCTACGGTAGCCACGGATCTCTGTCTTGGACCGAAGTCTGACCCAGATTTGGAGACACCCTGGGCCCAACATCCATTTGGACGTCAGCTCCTGGAGTCCCTGTAGGTCTCCAAAAGCTCAAAGCAGGAGCAGGGGTAGTCTCTGGAGCAGAGCTGTTCACAGCTGCAAGTTTGTAGGGTCTTGTTTCAGACTTAGATGAGAGGAGTTGCTTGCTAAGCCCAGCGACTTTGAGCTAGAAGATCCTGCCTAAAGGCTTATGAAGGGATAATCAGTGCATAGCCTCTTGTCGTGGAGTTCTCTAGCACTTCGTGTGACTGCCCTCACCTTTAATATGGGGGGAGACTGTCCAGCTCCATCATGAGATGCACATTCATAGGACAAAAGAGGGAAGCCACAAATCTGTTTATTGCAAATAGGAGGCAGCCCTGGCACTCGTCAAGTGACCACCTGCCCTTTGGCTGAGCTAAGATTAGCTTCTCCTGCTCTGATGTGATGTTTATGGTACAGTATGTGGTACTCCAAGACATCTGGATTGACTAGCATGGAGGAGGCCTGATGTAAGAGGGAACTGCCGCTTTTATCCAGGATTCTTTCCCTCGCCTGTCTTGATTTGGCTGCCAGTTTAACAATCAAATTCCCTACTGTTGCTCCAAGTGCAAACTATTTCCTGTCATCCAGACAGTCTTCTGGTAACTACCTCCATTAAGGCCTGATTCACACTCGGCCCTCTTGCACAACACATTATCTACCTCTTGACATTGATCTGAATCTGTTCGGATAGGAAGAGTTGATAGCCAATGCTAATCTGTTCCGAAGCTTAGAACCTGCTTTGAGTTGCTTTGCTGACAGCTCTGCCAAACCTGCTACATGAACTCTGCCCTAGTTCTGCCCTGGTGTGAGGCAGGTATGGGAAAGAGGGACAGTCCATTCCTACAGCCATCCTCTAACCAGTGCCAGTCTCCAACCTATGCCTGCCCTTCACCAAGACGGTGAAGAGAACTCCCTTTGGTGGTGCTGCTCTTATGTTTGGCTGGGAGGAAGCATCTGTTCTTTGTATTGCAGCAAAACCTGTGGATGCCAATCAGAAAGCAGGGCCCTGCTGTGCTAGGCACGGTACAGATACACTGTCAAAAGATAGTCCCTGCCCCAAAAGAGCTTGCAGTCTACGTTATCACCTGACACAACAGGTGGATGAGGCAAAGGGGAGGAGGGAGAAAGGAAGTGGAAGATAACTACATCAGTCAAACTATAATAAGCAGAGATCTTGGTTCACTGTCTGCCTTGCCATGAATAGTTATCCCTACTAATTAACAGATTTGGCCTCTGTCAAGAGGCCAAATGAGGTGATCTCTGTCTTGGGTACCAGTGTATTCGTAGGACATGGCACAATCTCCCCATGTCAAAATAGATAAAATTCACCTCAAACCCCAATTCATCACCCATTAATTCTCCTGCATGTAGAGTGCAGACTTTGGGTCTCCCATTTCCAGAAAGCCCCATCTCCTGCCAGTGTTGCAGGCTGCTCTGTATTAAATCCATTCCCAACCCTCCCTATCAACTAAATCTCTTTAGGAATCAAACTTTGGTCTCATTCCCATTGCTCTGGCCTATAAGCTGGAGTTGGGATCTTGGCTGGGAATGGCCCCAGGAGCCTGAGAAGTCTGAGTATCTTCACCAAAATGATCAGACAGCGAGTCTCATGGCTCAATTTAACCTTGCTCCTGCAGAACTGCTCTTTGGAGCTGTGCAGACCCCAGGATCCTTGGGCATTCCCAGTGTGGATGGGGTCCTTAAGAAACACCCCACAGTAAGGGATTAGATACCCCCATGCAGAGAGGCACCATCTCTTGGGAATTAGGCCTTGATTGTCTATCCAACTGGAAGCTCTTTTATCTATTTATTTGTCAAGTAATGAAAAGGAGGGTCTATCCCCCCAGCACCCACACATCCTCTGAGCAGCTGGGCATAGTTAGTTCCATAGGGTCCCCCAAGGTGTTAGAGAAAATTCTGAAAGAGAAACTAGTTGAGGACCTGGAGGGTAGTGGCAATTGCGATAAATTACAACATGATTTTACGAAGGGCAGATCTTGCCAAACGAATCTGATCTCCTTCTTTGAGAAAGTAACGGATTTATTAGATAAGGGAAATGCGGTGGACCTAAT